TCCTCATGAGCAGCGTGCGCCGCCGCGGCGATATCACGCAGGCTACTGACTGATAACTGACTACTGTAATTTGGTTCGAAACGAGAGGTTTTCTCAGTATTTTCACGTGAGTAACCCGCGATTTTTAGTTAATATAGGTACATTCTTAGATACCCAATAACTAAGTTTTAGTTTTGCTTCAACTAACAGTTTCGCGTTACGCTTCCTTGTGCGAACCACTAAGGAATGGAATTCCTTGCTGGACTCTGTGTCTCCCGACAAATATAACTTGGGTGTCTTCAAATCCAGAGTGAACAGGTTGCTCATAGGTACGCGTGCTCCATCGTCGGCCACATCATCGCTTACCACCAGGCGAGATAGTAGGGAAGCCCATGAAGGGATTTCGGTAGTTACTCGAGCGCGTCAGATTAACATATGGGGAAAACCTAGTGTCATGTTGAATATCATCATCAACAGCCTATAAATACCCACTGCTGAGCAAAGCCTCTTCTCACACGGAGAAGGTTTGAGCATTAATCACCACGCTTGCTCAATGCGGGTTGGCAATTTCAAACTTATAATTAGAAATTATAAGTCCAGGTTTCCTCACGATGTTTTTCCTTCACCGTTTGTCACTGGTGTCTAAATAATCTTAGATAGTACATATAACTCGGAAAACTTGGTAGGTTTCGAACCTGCACCCTCATGCATGAGAAGCGGGCGTCTTAAACCTCCGGGCCACCACGACACTTAATACACGTCATGTTGAATATACCCACCATATATCCGATCTGATTAGATTATTCCAACTTGATTTGCAAGAGTGGGGGGATTTTGAAGGGTTCTCGTTTGTACTCTCCAGAACATTCAACCCCATCATGAAAACTGGCAGATTAAGAGTTTTTTATTATTAAATATACATGGAGCATGTACACTATCAATATCTGACACGCTCGACCACTAGAACAAAAGTTACGCTTAACAATTTCAAACATCTGTGGAATCTCCTCCCCCCACCGGTGGAAGAAATTGTCACTAAACCATTTCTTCTTTCTATCAGTATATCTTCAAAATCCAGTAGGTTCCAATGACGCTCAAGTAAATCCAATTTTAGCATCGTGGGCTCCCCTACTAAGATGGAGGCCAAACGTCAAACTTAGGTAGGTTAGTTAGCAGCTCTTGTGTATAAAAGTAATATCGATAGGTACTTAAACAAATTCACAAATCCCAAACCCCTTTAGGAAAATGTAGGGAGTTAGGGACGTTGTACAGAGAAGCACTTACCTAACTATCGACACGACCACTCAATGTAAAACTAACTAGATACTAAACCGTAACAAAAACATCAATTCAAAACTTAATAATTCAACTGAATAACCCAGTGGACCGTTCAAAAACTCCGTTTTAGGACGACCAACCCTTCATTACCATTTAAAGTGGTGCAAACGCGCGCAATGCGATAAGAGCTTATGCAAATTCAGATCAAATTGTTAGTGGCTCAGATTTGTTCGACTAATCCTAGGTGGCTGTGGGGGGTTGTAGCTGTAAATGTGTTTTTATTGAGTTTCTTTGTTTCATTTTTATGTAGGAAGTCAAGTACATAACCTATGTATCTGTTTGTAGGCATGTAGACGGGAGCTAACAGCTATGGTTCAGCTTTGCTAGAAAACCAATGCCCGCAGAATCGGATTTGTGTCGTGTAAGAACTCGAAAAATCACTAATCAGGTTTTAAAAGATCAATTTCAGTGTCAGGTAAATTTTAATTGAGGATTAACTTTGAACATTTGACAGTTCTTTCGTACTAAAAACCGTCAAATGTCAATTTTATTCTAAAGTTAAAAGTTAACTAATGATTGAAAAATCAGCCCTTAATAACTTACGTATTAATTATTATTATTATCGACGCGCTTTTTATTCCCCGAAAAGAGCTTTCGCAGAGGTGCACAGGCGTGAGTTCCATATAATAAGGGGCGAGCATACCTATTACCAAACATAATCGAGTCTCGGATGTAATCCCGGACTCCGTGATATTACTCAGAATCTCGATGACCGAAAAACTCATAATACTTTAATACAGCAAATAAGAGGGGTGTCCGTTTTGATTCCTTGGTCTACCTGCACCAACAAAATCGCTTACCCAGCAGGTACGCTTGCGACCACACCACTAACGAAGCATCCAATAAAGGTAGGTACTTATTTTTTGAGGGGGGAAAATCATCCAATGACTTCTCCCGCCCGGGTGAGGCGAGAGGGAGTGTCAGACTCTTACTGACTAAAAACCACCCCGTTCCTACTCTTGCACTTCGAGCCGGAGCCCCGGTAACCCGTTAAGTCTTCCGCGGCTAATATAGGTAGGTACTTACCAACTAAATTACCACCGAATTAATTAAAACTTGTTAATATGAACTCAAATGCAGACAAAATTGAAAAAGGATTAATTCGGGTGCGGGCTGCAGACGAAACATTATCGATGCACCCTCCCTAAACGAGAGGCAACTCTTTAATATGCATCGAATTTGTCTTTCATTATTTTTATTGTGCATATTTATTTGGGGAGAGATTCGGTTCTCCAGACACCCAATTAAAACCGATTTATGCTTAATCTTTAATGAAGAGTGGCGAATTTGCAAGTTATTTTGATTAATTAGGGACGTGCAGTTTGGCTAATAACCCGGACTAATATTTTATCGTATTCACAGTCAAAGTCAAAATCATTTATTTCAATTAGACCGGAAGGCACTTTTGAACGTCAAAATAAAATATTTAAATATTAAATAATAAGAAAAAATGTCAGTCTGTAGGTCAGTCCTCTAGCCGCTCGATGGCGCAAAGAGAGTTGAGTACCTTTTTTTAACACCCGTAGAATGCGCAAAGGGCCTACAGTGCCCTTTTTTTTACGTCGCGTTCCGACGTGCACATTTATATTTTATTTCTTTCTACCCAATAGGTTTTTTATATTTCTTCTTTTTCTATTCGAATCTATGGATATTTTTCTATGCTCAAAATGCAACAACACTACAGTATAGAACGCAAAAATTAAAAAAAAAATTGTCAAAGTTTGTGCTATCTGTTGCGAACGGTCAGTGGTCGGACGACGAGTGCTCGCGAGCGAAAAATTGTTAAAAGGCAATGTTTCTTTATTTATTTTTACGTAGAATTAACCTACCTACTATTTAAAATCATAAACTAATAGGTTATTGATAGAGATTTCAAAATAATACCATTTATATTTGAAACTTTGTAATTTTTAGCTATTGCTGATGTTTACACTTACCTAATAAAATATTGAGACAACTAATGTCAACAACTGTAATACCACACGATAGTCCCATTCATAAACTTAAAGAATAACATCACTTGAGCCGTCGGAACGCAACAGGAGGTCATAAATCTTTGTTTATACGAGCGGCGCGCCGATAAGGTGTCCGATGACGCAACACGCGTGCCTATGCCCCGCCTTTACTTGGCAGAGTACGCGCCCAAGCGGCTAGTGAAGTTATTTGCTCGTTCCAAAGTATAGATTCCTATGGAGAAGAACAAGCAAGAAACTCCATAGGTTACTCTGTGGCAATAGGCTCGTCTTATTATGGTGTTCAGAGATATTGATAACTTTAGTTTGTTTTTATAGACTTTTATGAATGAACTTAACTTTTTATTAGAGTGTAAAGTTAATGCTACCTATATAAATTGACGAATTATAGTAAGAGGTATGGTCGAGTAGTTGGTCCACTAATCGACTTTTATACAACCGACTATTCGACTAATCGCCATGTCCTTATCAGCACATTTTTAGTTTTTAATACCTCGCACTTTTTCCTGAAGAAATAACATACATCACACAATAACAATATCCGCGAAGGGATAGGCAGAGGTGCACATTATGCCACTGTACAATGTAACACCCACTTTTCACTATTTATGTAATAAGTCTCATGTAATAGGGGGTGAGCCTATTGCCATATACCAGGCACATTTCCAGACTCCGTACTACTACTAAGGTTTTTACAAACCCAGTAATACTTTGCCCGACCCGAAAACTGAACCCGAGACCCCTTTACCAGGCAGTGGCATTTTCGACCACTCGGCCAATGAGGCAGTCAGTTCCTGACGAAATAATAAAAAGAAAGATTCGTGTTATATAAAATATACAATTTATTAATGTACATAATTTCGGAAAGCATTTCTATGTCAACAAGGACAAGGAAACATACATATTTATTATGTAATAACAATTTGGTATATTATAACTACCTGTTTTCAGATCACGAATCAAATTCGACTATATAATAAAATTTTACTATTTTAATAATAGGATTCTTAAACAGGCCACCTTTTTATTGCTTTTTTCTGCAACTGAATTGCATTTAAGGCGTCATTAAACGTGAATGGTAGGGAAACTCACTGATTTGGATGAAAAGACAAGATACTAGATAGAAGTTAACATTTCTTCCATAGACAATTTTACGAAAAAAAAAAGTTAAGGAATGTAAGAAACCAACTAAAATCGCGGGTTATTCACGTGAATATACTGAGAAAATCCCCACTAGCTTCGAACCACAGAGGGGTTCTTCCTCATGAGCAGCGTGCGCGACGTCGCCGCGACCGCACACGCTGCTCATGCTCATGGGGATTTTCTCAGTATACTCACGTGAGTAACCCGCGATTTTACTTGGTTTAGTATGTCTCACGATAGTTATTATAAAAAGTATGTAAGAAAGAAGGCTTTTGATATTGCATTATAAAATATTAATCAAAATGTGGCCCATTTCAAGAAAACTGATTAGGTACTATAATTTTATTATTTTCTCTTTACTTTTGTTTACATTTTAAAGTAACTGCCATTGCATTGTCATCATTACTAACAATAATAGATAATAAACAAAAGATTTAAATACAACAAAGAAAAACAACAACGTTCTAAATTTAAAATAAAACAAGCAGTACGTTTTTGATTACACTTGTCAATTCGATTTTGACGTTTATAACATAGTGTTGCTATGTTTGCTTGATCTTGATTGGTCTAATTTGGTTTTTCTTCGCCTGGTGCACCTACAAGGAACCAACGCGAACGCGCCCGTACGGCTACGTTACGTACTAGCCTCTTCTTGTCGTCCAATGAGGGCGCTAGATCTAATAATACGTCTTGTTTGTATGGCAGTAGGGTCGAAGTTCGGAAAGTATTCGCTATGTCGTAAAGGCACTCTAAACTCTTTATTCTAACATCCTGGAAGAAAGAAAGAAAATATTCAACGACGAGTTCAAAAGAAATTAAATTACGTTAGAACCAATAGTAGCTTACTTTATGATTTACTTAGTATCAATAATAAAATATTATTTTTTCAACATTGCTGAGATTGATTGCGCCTGAATTCGGCATAGAAGCTAATGGGCTAAGACCATTCGGCCTAATAACTTTTTAAGCTTTTCACTTCTTTGACCAATAAAATTTTGGTTACAAAAATTTGGACGCTAGAGATTTTATACTACATAAGCGCCATCTACATTACTTAAAGTGACAGCTATCAAGTGCACGACAGACAAAAAAGAAAAAACTTACCATAGACTTCATATATTTGCTCAAAGCGATTAACCTGGGCAGTATAGTCTGTAAGCTGTCTGACACCGCTGTGGGACTGGACTGCACAAAGTGACATAACACGTCGAGGGACACTTGCAACATGTCCTTATTGTCGTATTCTAGGCAGTCTATAACTATTGGTGCAACCTGGAATAAATAACACATACAACTTAATTTTTTTATGTGATAAGCCGGTAAACGATCCTACGGATCACCACGGATGGTAAGCATCGGCGTCGCACACCTGGAACACCAGAGGCAAGTACCAGTTACAAGTACGTTATCGGTCTTTTGAGGATTAGGAAATTGATTGTTGGGGATTCGGGGATTGGGGAGGGGAGTTAATTGGGCCTCCAGTGACCTTACTCACACCACGAAACATAAGGTAAGCGTTGTTTCACGTAGGTTTTCTGTGAGGCCGTAGTATCACTCGAGCCGACCCATTCGTGCCGAAGCATGGCTCTCCGTGAAGTTAAAACATATGAATACCAGCTTTGCGTCCGCAGTTTCATCCATCCAAAGCATCATCCATTTATTAAAAATTCATCAAGGCGGGATGTGTTTTATAACATGTTTAAGGATAGCATCGTAAGGTAACACAACAAACAAAAACTAACCTTATTAGCCTCATTTTTAAGTACAGTCTTCGGTGCCTTGTCGAGTACATACGCCCAACTGAGCAAATAACTTTCTTTTGTTTCAGCCGATAGGTTAGGCTTAACTTTTTCAGTCAATACGGAGAATGTTTCGAACATCCTCTGTTTGTATAAGAGACTTATCCTACAGTGCTGCTTTCTGTTCAAATAATCTGTATTCTCGTTCATTATTAGTTTAATGGCTTCCGAACCGTGCGTACAGTATTGTGGAGTAGCTAATATTCCTACAATCTGAAAGAAAAATAAAACGTTATTTGACAAAATATTGTCAAATTGCGATCAAATACTTTTTGTAGCAGTTCAGTCAAAAATAGTCGTTATAATAAGTGTGTTTAGGTTCAAAATGGAAAGCATTGTTAATGCCGAACCATCGATGTAGTTGACTATTAATGGCTTAAATAACTCATTTCATACGAGAAAACTAATTTTGTCATAGTCACAAGTGATTTTAGACAGAAACAATATGTATTTTTTTATATAGAATAAGCCCGCCACAACCTGTCAAAACCGCTACAACTCCTGTAAGCCAGGATCTACAGTAGATACAACCATGAAAACACCGGAACACTGAAGTCCGGAGCGTCCCAGGGCCATGAATAACTGTCTTGGTTCCCGCAACGAAAAAGAAAAAAAATCCATTAAACAATGAATTTCCAACGACTCACCTTCTGCAACCAAAACAAGAACACATCGCTGCCTCTCATCAGTAAAGACTTAGTGATCCACCCATATAACTGTATCAATCTTGGACATAGTTTCTCATCTCCCCTATTACACGACGCCAACTGAGTTTTCAACATTTCATATAGCAATTCAAACTTCTGTCCATGTTCAGCCTTATTCAATAAATGTGCGATTAACACGCACGCCTTCGTCCTTACAACATCTTTATCACTCTTTAATGCGACCTGCAAGGACACCGTCATAATCTCCTCGAACTTAGAATTGTACACGATTTGATGCAACGGAGTGTACAAACATTCAATTATAAGGAAATATATATCGTCCTGTTTACACCTTTCTAAAGCTAGAGGCGTATGTTTAACTAGAATGTTCTCCTGTTTTTCTGGAGGTAAGCTACCTATAGTATTCGCTATTAATGTATACCCATGTGCTAAAGCGTCTGGACTTGACGACGAGATTTCTTTATACAACCAATCTAGTACAGGATCTATCAATCCGTGATCGCTTTCTATCTGCGTAACTTTTTCTATGGTAAACACACTAGCCATGGAAATGGACCCACTTAGTGCCTCAACGACATGCAAAGCTTCAGGGTCATTTGCCGTAATTATCTTTAGCATTTCTTCAATTATAACTTTAGTAAAGTCGTCTATACTCGCTAAGTTTGTGAGCACGTTTAACCGTTTCTGAAAGGCTATTTTGTCCTGCGATATGTTGTCTATACTGCATTTTCCTTTGACAACTAAGTCCATTATTAGTTCGGGATATTTCCTTGCTATTACATGTATCGTTTCCACGCTGATACCGAGCAGATCATTGTCTTGTGCATGTTGGACATTATAGATAAGCACCTCGACAAAAGGCAATACAAGGTCCTCGCCCAAACATTCCTGCACTCTTATTAAAGTTTTGAACCCAGCCATTTGGAATTCTTTCGAAGTTTGGCTAACAGCCGACAGGCATATCTGTGGAACGTTAGTTATCTGTGCTTTTACTTCGTCCAACAAGCCTTTCTTATTAGCAATCTCATACAAGTCTCCAATAAAGTCCAAACTTGCTATTTGCAATTTTGGCGCTGTTTTGAGTTCGTAATACGCTACTGTTGCGGGGACCATAGCTCTTGTGATTGAGGCACAGGATTGATTAGAAGCATTTGCGGCAGTTAGTAGAATCTTCGTGCCTTTGACGAACTGTGCAACGGTGGTCGCATCCGCTATAGTACTTTGTGCAGAAATAATGACCCCTTTTAGGAAATTTTCAAAGGCTTGGTCTGTGTTAGCGGTTGACGCCATTTTAGCAACCAATGCTCCCAATGCCTCATGCGCCGTAGTTTTAAGTTCGTCATCAGTTTTGTGCGACATCTCTCTGTTGAGTGAAGACCACAGAGCTCTCAGAAATGGACTGTATGATTGCGGTGTGAATGTTTTACAGCTTTCGATCTAAAAATTGAAATTTTATGGATTAGTTTGTGGTGTTAATTTTGATAATAGATATAAACTTTGCCTCGCACAAACATTTGAATTTCGAAAACCTTTAAGTAATATACCTTTTCGTGCCAAAATCTAATTATATTTATAATTCATCACGCACACTACTAAGTTGAGACTAGCAGGGCCGTCTTAGACCACGCTGAGGCCCGAGGGCGTACAATAATTCGGGACCCTTTTGGAAAGTTTATTTTTAACGTTGTTAGGATACAAGAAACGTTAAAAAAGAGCTAGAGGTTGCACTTACATACAAGTTCATATACACATGACACCCAGAACCGAAATAACAATTTGTAGAGGACACATACATTTGCTTCTTGGAGGTATCGAACCCGCTACAAGTTGCGTACGTGTGTGTCCATGTGTCCATCTTAGAAATTGTCGGTTTTTCGGAGCCCCTGAGGATGAGGACCCTGGGTACGGGCCCCGAGTGCCCTAATGGTTAAGACGGTACTGAAGACTAGTATAAAAAGCACTTACCAACAACTTCAAAGAATCAATTTTGGCCAACCTCAAGTTAGAATCCAACTTCTCAATCAAGAGAATGATACAGGAATCCGCAAACTCTGGTATGGCACACAGACATGGCGCTAAAGAGTTGGCCAAATCTTCTCTCGTCACCGCAGCAGGATCATCATTTGACGGATGGAAGTCAATAGGAAAGTAACAAGAGATTACGTCAAACATTTCTTCAGCCAAATGGCCAAGAGGAAAGATCTTTATGAAGTTTTGTAGGAACCCGAATAGAAAGACTAGATTGCGAGGGTCTCGTTCACCGTCCATAGCCGTTATAACTCCGTATACGAAGTCTGAGCCGAGGCTTTTTAGGTCTGAAAGTACAATTGAACAATTTGTTAGTTTGACAAAGAAATCTATAGTATGCTATAGAATAGAATGAAGCACTGTGTTGTAAATGATGCTTCCACCTATTCACCTATGACTTGGTCTAATAAGATTTACTATAAAAAGGGTTATTAAGCGAGTGGTCGCAAGAGCAACTGTCGATCAAGGGCTACTGGACTAAAATATTGTTAGAATATTTTCTAAAAGTTCACAGCAATAGCATGGATTTTGGCATTGCAACCAGTATTTCACTTACATGGAAATTAGAACCACAATATTTATTTGTAGTAACTCAAAACAAAGGGTAAAAAATTGGTATTTCATTGCAAATAAACTAAACATGTTTATAATAATAATAAATTCCATAGTGCATTTATATTAGAGTTTTCTAAAGGGCCTCTGTGCTGTTGGCTACAGGCCCTCGTATACCTCCCAAATGACCGGGACCCTGTAGTCCAATGAATGGCAAAGACATACATAATATTACAATCCACTACTCTTCAACTAAGCAAAGGGCAATATTTTATTCTCATCTAACTAAACAATTAATATGAGCCAACTTTATCTTCTTGTTTGTTCATTTTTATTATGATTTCGTAACACGAACATGTAAGATAAACTACTTTTGATAAGAATATCGCACAAACATTATGAACTGATTTCTTATAATAGTCTATTCGGAAAAGAAAGATTTTAAATAAGGCACTGAAAAGTTATTAAATATATAAAAATTGTTGGCAAAATTTGTTTTTTTTTTTGAGAAATAAGTAAGTAAGTATGCAATTTGAAATAACTAGCTTTCTAACTGTTTAAAACTTGTTTGTAATCAACTTAGTTAATCTGTCAAACACCAAGCGGTCACCGGTGACCGCGACCTATTGTTCTTTAATTGTGTCTATAAAACCGGTACTCGACGAGTTAAGTACCTAATTAAGTCTAAACAATTAAAATGTGCCTGAAGAAACATAAAATGTAGAATAATGTGTTAATATCCATAGATATGAGAATTTAATTTATGGACACATCACGCCATCACACCCACGAAGAGATAGGCAGAGGTGCACATTATACTGTACAATGTAACACTCACTTTTTTACGTCAAATAATCACATGAGTAACCCAAAAAATATAATAATAATAATTTCATAACCATAGAACCGATTGATAGTCACAACTACCGAATAATATTCTTTATATGTCCTTTACTTGGCGGAAGCCCATAAAGGACATTAGAACCGGCCTTAGAGCCGAGAGCAAGAAGAATTGCAAGAAAATAATGTCATAATAAATTGCTTAAAAATTCCTAAAATCCAATTGCAGAGCTACATATGCAAATTAAAATAATATATCTTGTTAAAAAAATGTATATGCTGATTTAAAATGTTATACTTACATTCAATATCCTTATTACACAACTTCTGTATGATCACATAGATGTTATATCTATCCTGTCTTGTCTGCGATTGACATGTCACCTCTCGGAAAAGTATAGTCAGGAAATCAGTACAATTTTGTATATTGTACTCAGACATGTCAATTAACACTGAGTATCCTTCTATTACTGGTGGAACTACTCGGTGATTGTCCTTCAGTCTGTCTATATAGAACTTAGATATAAACTTGACTTGCATGTCATTTAAATAATCTCGAGGAAGTTCTTTTAATATTTTAGTATAGAAACGCATCCCTTTCTCTCGGTTTTCTGGTTCTTTGTTTGTTAAGACGCCCGCCATGTTTTCTACGAGATCTGCGATGTCTAGGTGGCCTGATACAATGTCTGCAAAATAAATTGTGGAATCTTATTTGAATTTTGTTCCTTTCTTTTACTTTGACATGTATGAATTAATGTGGCTTTCTTACAATAATTAATTATTGGTTCCAGTTAAACTTACAGAACATACATTTTATAATTTATAAAGGATATTATAGAAGTATTATCAAAGGAATGGGTTTCATGTCCTTGTGCAATTAAATGATGAAGAATGGTTTTAATACAAAGTTCAAAGGCTTACCAGCGATAATGCTGTGTGTTTCATTAAATATATCGCCATGGTTGATTATAAGTTCCGCCAATTCCGGTTTAAACCAGGCTGAAGTCATCTTGGCCAATAATTTTGATGTTTCACAGACAACCGAAAAACATTTAAGTGAACTTAAAATATCATTGTATTATAAAAACGTATTAAATGTATGTATGTGGATTCGTATTATTTGCAAAAATTTTGCACCGTTTATACGGTAAGAAAATAAAAAACTTTATTGTTTTGTCAATTTGAGGTTATTTGAATTGTTTTTAAATTTTGTTCGACGTATTACAGACGCAAGTATTTTTACCGTACAGTCTGAAATGTCAAAAAAATACTAATTGAATCATAATATTGCCAGATTGAAATAATGAAAATCTCAAGCAAAATCAGGAAGTATGGTCACCACTTTTGTTTCGCCTAAAAACTTGTTATTATTTATCTCAATGTTTACGTTTAGATTTTTAATACACTCCACGACGCATTTACTTTACTTTACTCCTATGTGAGATCAGTCATCTCACAGGTTATAAAGAATCTATTTTATATGGTTTTTGGTTTATAAAAGAAGTGAAAATACGTTTCTGAACGACTGTCATATGTTCAGTGAAGTGAGGTTATGTTTTTAATGTCATTGTTGTCATTAAAGCGCGACTGATGAAAAGTGATGCAATTATAAACTCACTGTGCAATTGAAACTAAATCAAAATTGGTCCTTTGAATAAATTAGTAAGGGCATATCAAACTTTGAATATGTCCCACAAAACGTTGATAGACTTCGTGGTTAAGTACCATACACCGCGGTTGCTAAATAACGTCGTATTTTTTCCCAGCAATGGAAACTCGTATTTTGGTCGAAGATTATATTTTCCTGCGCCATCGTCGTCATCAACTCCTAAAGTACAGTCGCCCAGAACTTTTAGTACATCAGCACCGAAAATAACCGAAATCCAATTGAGTCCAAAACCTAAAAAAACCGAAGGAACCTTCCAGTTGATGTTTACATGTAAGAAATGCAACACAAGAAACACGAAATTCATTTCGAAACTAGCATACTACAAAGGAGTTGTTATTGTTATTTGCGAAGGTTGTGACAATAAGCATTTAATAGCCGATAACTTGAACTGGTTTACTGACATGAATGGAAAGAAAAACATTGAAGATATAATGGCGGAAAAAGGTGAAACAGTACAGAAAATATTGTCAGCAGACTTGGAATTTATTGCTAAAGAAATGGCAAAAGGTATTGAGAAGAACGAAGACAATTTATTGTTAAAAGAGTGAAGTGATGGGACTATACTTAAGTTACTTAGCTTTATGCCTTAGATCTAGTGATAATAGATATTTTACTGCATCAATTGCAGATTAATAATGAACAGGCAGAGCAGGTCAGAGAAACCTGCATTATTTATAAATTAGTTATTAGTTATAGCTGTCCTTTAACAACTTGTACTCCTGTGATTCCATTACCTGTATATTTTCTACATTGATTTGTGTTAAAAAGATCTATATTGTCATCGATGTTAAGGAAATGTAAAGAAGTCTAAACCTGAACTTCCACTGCCACTATAGCTGGCTGTGGATATTCAGCTCTAAACCTTAGCTTCAAGACAGTAAATGTAACTCAAAAAGATAAAAGAAAGGAAGTATATTACTATTTTATAATAAGTACCTTAATTACGTCACTGTGGAAGGTATGTACAAGTATTATTTAATTTTGTTATATGATTAAAAATGTATATTTCTCATGCATAAGATAGAAGATAGTTTTGTGATATAAAAACATAAAATTGTAATAAAATATTGAATAAAAAACATAGAAATAAAAAGATTATATGATTTATTCTCAATCCATATTACAAGAGATTACAAATCAGATATGGCCAACCTAAACATATAAAATCGAAACAGATTCTTATCCATAGTAAGGCAACATGTCATATCTATTATTAAAAAAATATCATAGTTTAGGCTGAGATTATAAAAATAATGAATTGTGTTGGTGAAAAAAATATGAAATTATGACTAATGACAAATTCGATCAGCTATAAAGCCAAATGCAAGGACTTTGAAAAACGGTGGACGTAATGTCACTTAGAAATGATGAAGCACCAAAATATAAGTAGTGTATTTATGTGTGCGTGTTATTGCAACACTGTAATGGCGGACCATGTCGCACGACAGTAAGTGTATTCTGCATGTAAATTTATAGTAACCAGGTGCACTAGTTGTATCAAGAGACTATGTCCGCCTTTTCTCAACATCCTTAGTCATATGTGACTGCTGCCCTACCTCTAAAGCTAAACATAGATCTTACACTTAATACTTTATAAAAATTCAGCAGATAAAAGTTACACAAAAATATTTTTTAATTGGCACCAGTTGGTAATCATTTCTGAAAAATACTCTATAAAAATAAGGCACAATTAATCACATTATGTATTACATTTCATAATCTCTTACAATTAATATACTAAGTATTATTTGTGCGATAATTAAATTATACAAAAAATTAATGTACAAAAATCTTAACAATATAAAAAGAATGTAGTAAGGAATGCAACAGTAATTATTATGTGGGATTTTGTCTTACAAAATACACAAAACATACTTTTAAAAATGATAGTAATAAGTAGTCTTCTCTGGGATTAAAACATGTCTAGTATACAGTATATGCTGTCAACATAACATTCTGTGTCTCAAGAGTGTTTAGACATTTTGATGTTAGTAATGGTTCATCTGACTTCATCTTGCCAAAAATATCATTTTAAAATGTAATGCCTAATAATAAAGTGATTCGAGTGAACAATCACTGACAAAATTTCAGTCTTAAAAATTATATTTGCTTGTAATACAATGTTTTATACTCTTTTTGGACGGCTTACAATCGCATAATCTGTCCCATTGCACATGTTGTGAGCAACATCTTCCAAACCTACTTGGTTCTGGAGTGCTTGCACTTGGGCAGCAGTGGGTACTTGTGGCCCAGGGGTGTTGGGCTTCCTTATCATGCCATATCCTAAATGAGAATCATCTGCCAATCTGGCTGTTTGCATAACATTTTCAACCTCATCATAATCATTCCAAGTGTCTTTAGATTTTGGCTCACCAAGGGCCAAAGTCGTAGGACGCGCTTCAATCTTTTTATATCGTGAGGATTTATTCAATTTGCTTGTTGAACCAAAATATGCCAATCTGTCATAATTTTCATCTTCAGGATCAACTACTGGACTCGGAAGCAGAATAATTCTTGATGACTCTGGGCCACTGGTGTTCAAGTTATCCTGAGATCGAGAAATAAGTTTTATACAGTTTGGATTATCAGCCAAGTTAGGAGTGAACTCAGTATGTTCAGGTTCATCTATTCCCAATGTTTTCCATGCATCAGATCTAACCTCAACACTGTCATATGGCACTGACTGGCTAGGGGGACTGTGTTCTCTTTTCCCCTGATCAATTGGCTCATAGTTATCAAGCTTTTTAAATCTTGCAAAATCTGAAGTCTCCTCATTAGAAATTGGAATCTCTTGTTTCTTAGGGAGATTGATAATTTTACGAGGTGGTTTTAGTGGTTTAGGTTTCAGTGCTGGTTTAGGCATCAATAAAGGTGCAGTATCCCTTTCTGAGCATGAACTCTGTTGGCTTGATACAGAAGTAGTCTTGAATGACAGTGAACTCAAGTTCAAATCATCAGGTCTAGCAGCAACTAAAGGACTTCTGGAGCCAGGAAACAAATTGGCACTTGACTGAATATTGAATTCACTGTGTTCAGGACTGTTCAGGTTGTCATTGCCAATCATTTGCTTCATAGTTTTCATTTTTAATGACAAGCACTTGAAGATTTCTGATTGGTTTGGGTGTTCTAAATGGAAGATGCCTTCACCTGTATCACATTTTCGACCTGCTTCAAAAGTAAATTTACCCTGTCTGTAACCATAACGTCTAATAAACCTGTAAGGCCAAGTGGCATACACTTTGTCATCATTCTGACCTCTTAATTCTATGGCAGTAGATGTGAGCAAAAGAAGATATCTGATTGGTTCAAAACCACATCTAGTTGAAGCTTCAGAGGGGCACATTTTGACTGAGAATACTCCTTCTCCTGAAGAACAGTACAGATCATTGTCTTCGTCACAGCTGAAAGGATTAGAGTCCTTGTCTTTGAAAGCCACTGATTGTAGGGCAGTTACCCATTCTAAAGTTTCTGCTTCTGACTGTGTGCTCAACTGCTGAGTGTGTGACTTAGTAAGTATAGTAATAGTGTTTGGACTAGAATGTGTTATTTTTATACAATTTTCGAGAGTAATAATTTTGGGTATAGCACCAGATGCAACATCATCTTTGTTGTCAAATATTTCAAGACGCTCAATCCCTTGTTTGCTGGCAGTGAAGAGGATACAATGTTTTTGTTGCCAGTTTTTCTGTAAACAATCAGAGGAAACAATTAGACTCTAGTATTATACTATTTCTTACAGCCATCTAACAATAATTATGTCAATGAAATCCAACTAGACAATAATGAATTGAATGTACTAATTGAAATTGAACATAACGTTTAGAATAGATATATACGCGAATGTATATAAATAACATCATACCTATAAGTTAATTAAATCATAGTTAAAATTAAAACAAAATTTATCCTTTTACCTTATTTCATACAAATATAGGAAAATTTTAATACGTTTTCCTAGTTTAGGCTTAAACGTGAAGTGGAAAGGATACCGAATTGGCAATATCAACATACGACAACTACCTTTCCATTGAGTCATTGCTTGATTACAATAATGCTACAACCAGATTACGTGATGGTGCATGAATCATATGCACTATTAATTTCTTACTCGAATAGAAGTTACAGGTTTGATTTATACCTTTTTGGGAAATTTACTAAACATATTCCCTCCGGCAGGCGGAAATAATAAACAACCGGATTTGATCTCGTCGTCTTGTTCCATATTTTGCGTTTGATTTTTCTGAATGTAAAAACTCTTTTCGATTACTAATAACACTAAAAAACATAGCACAAACAAAACTTCGTTGTCGGTTTCACGCTTAAAATTAACTCATGGATGAAAAGCACACATTATAATCATTTTGTGTAGAAAATGTGAATGCACTAAACTGACGATTGCTAAACTTCTTTCAATGACAGGTGAGTGAGATCGTTCGTATCGTATTCACCACAAGGTGTCATAGACGTTAGTACAGTCACAGAATAAACAAAATATAAAATAATAATTATTTATTGTTACCTTATTCTGACAAACACGATTAAATAAATTGCTTGTTCCACCAATACATATTTATTTAGTCACGGAAAACAATCACATCCACTTAAAACAATGGGAATATAAAAATGAAAAATGCATACATTTCTTATTTTGCTTAATGGCAACATAGCCTGTCATTTCAAAAATGGCTGTCAAAGATGTGATCGACAACCTGTGTTATCACTCACTTGTCACATTCACATGTCATTGTCGTCTTGCTGCTTGTCTTGTACTTGTCAACTTACTTTGCTCGGTGTTCGGCAGCGTTTTTTGGCAATTTATAGATTAATTTAAATTAAAACTAAAATATATTAAATAATTATGTCTAGTAATATAAATCCTTTAGCGGGGACTGCGCATTTGCTGGATGAGTTAGACAGTATGTATCATAAAACTTTATTGTTATCTTTGTCAACTCGTGTTATTTATTTTGATCAAAACAATTCTTGTTTTCTAAAGAGAAACTGATGGTGTTGCTGCGGGATGGGAGGACTTTGATTGGATACCTTCGCTGCGTGGATCAATTCGCCAACTTAGTTTTGCACAAGACGATAGAAAGGATTCATGTCGGCAGAGAATACGGCGACATTCCCCGAGGCATATTTATTGTACGAGGCGAAAATGTAGTACTCCTTGGTGAAATCGTAAGTTTTTTTCTTTAGAATTACACAGATTATACTTAGAACGTGGTTTCGTAATGTTACCTTTTTCAGTAATATCATTTTTCCTTAATAGGATTTCAATGGTTACTTTTATGTTATGCTATGGTATTATTTTCGTATAAAATATACATAGCATATTTTTATGAACAATGTGAATAGAGTAAATGATTACAGTTTCGAGTACTTCTAGATCTTGTGTAAATTCATAGTAAAATGTTCAATTCAAAATAACATTATGAAATTGTTAATGACTACTAATTTAGATAGCTTGATTACTTAGCAACCTTCTGGTTAGGTGGTTCATGGTCTTAAGTAAATGTAGATGTATTACATTAGGTTCTGTGCTCCATAATTACTCAAAATATTAATTAACAAAACAACACTGTTATGCCATTATTTAATTTCTGATAGAGATGGGTATGCAATAATTAAATAATGAGACAATTAATTTTAAATTATAGGACAAGGACAAAGAAGACAATTTACCATTAACAGAAGTATCAGTTGATGATATTCTGGACGCACAAAGACGAGAACAAGATGGAAAGATTGAGCAACAGAAGTTACTTTCAAAAGCTTTGAAAGAAAGAGGACTCAATTTGTTAGCTGAAATGGGACACGATGATATGTTTTAAATGACCCTATTTAGCAAAATTCTCTATAATGTAAGACTGTGATTATGAATAAACTCTATATATCATTTTTTTTGTTTTTTATTTGTGAAAATAATTATGAGTGTATGGCTAAACATTCTGGAGATCGAACCTAAGATCTTTGGTCACTCAAACAGCTGCTCAACAATGAAGTATAAAGTAAACTAGTTGATGTATTGCCGTTATTAAAATGTATGTGCAAAAGAATGCACCTGTGGAATATTTCTCAAGATTGTTTTGGGTCAGCTCCATGCTTCATCATAAATTAATTTCCATTTTGATTTAAATTTTTTTATCTATCTGTCCAATGTATATTAGAAGATGCTGAATGATTTTAATATTAAACTACTAATTAGATACACTTTTAAGTAGTAAATTAATAAAGATGATCAAGGGAAATATAAACTAAACTCTTAAATGTGTACTACAATATTTTTATTAGGTTACTCATCATTTAGTTCTCATCAATTACAATTGCATTTTGTTTACCATCTTGTTTTGTTACAGATTGTTAATTACTGAAAATTTGATCTAAATATAGTGAAAAGTGGGTGTTACCTCTGTGTGCACCTCTACCTACCCCTTCGGGGATAAAAGGCGTGATGTTATGTTATGTTGATCTAAATATATATGTATTTTTTAAACGTTGCCCCACACTAGGATTTTCTCTTGTGTCGTGGGTGCCTTTACAAACATACAAATTCATATACACGTGACACCCAGACCCGGAACAATAAACTGTGGATCATAATATGATATTATGAAGAGTTGTTCCGTGCGGGAATCGAACCCGCGATACGTTGCGCGGCAGCCAGTTACCTATGCACCACACGAACCGTGCCGTCATTTTATGAAACATTTATACGTTATAAATAATTAATATTCAAAATTGATTCTTAAACTATTATATAAACTCAAAGTAAAATCTCGGTGCATAGGTCAATAAGTTTCAGAACGAGTGGCTAGGCAAATCAAATTCCAATTTCTGAACAATTCAAATTTTCCGTTGTGATAAAATGACATTTGAAAACAATGTAACTTGTGATTATTTCTTCTATATTTTTTCATAATTTTAAACAAAATGTTTATTTCTTGTACCAAATAGTTTAGTACAACGGGTGTTTATTATATTTTGCAGAAAATATGAACTTAATTAGAGTGTTGTTTTAGTTATTTCTTCATATTTCTTACTTCTTTGTGTTGACTAAAAAAAATATGACTTCGGCGGATTTAACATTGATTGAAAGGCTACGAAAGGAGAATTTAGAGCAATTCTTTACTTTAGTGCGTATGCACCTATCTTTTGTCGTAGATATTAATACTGACGAGTGAGTATTTAAGTTCCGGAAGCCGTTATAACCTTAGTGAAGTGCTTCCACCTATTGTTTACGTAAATATGATAATTTTTCAGTGTTGACTGTTCAACTGATAAACCAAAGCAGTTCCGATGGAACTTCCATAAGAAAACAAAGAACTCCAATTCAAATTCTAGTCAAAATAATGCAAATATTACGAAAAATAACGTCGAAGTGAGTTCAATTACTGAAGATGGAATATTGAGAGTGAATGAGCTGATAGATTTTCTATCAAAACCCGACAGTAAGTATTTCGAGTTTTATTGGATAGTAATTAGTGTTTATAAGTTTGCGACAGTTTTAAGTCTAATTGTAATCTCGCATTGTAACTTAGGTGCAATACACCTGGTACCTAATATTGCTTTATAAAAGAGCCTTTCTCTTAACCCTTCATGATTTCTTATCTAAAGCAGTTCTTGTGATAAGTTGTTTAGACAAAATAGGTATTAGTGACATAGCGTATCTTGGCAGGGCCCTGTATAAAAATTTGTTTTGGGGCCCTTATGAAAGGTAAAATTTCTCAGAAGAGATTTTTTACATAATATTATGGAAAGTTTTCTGGTTTTAACTTAAAACCGGAAAGCCTTTCAGGTAATTCCCTAAACCCAAATTATTGGACAATGATTACTTTAGTTTTTCCAAAGTTTCTGCCATGTAATAGATATTTCTATTCCATGGTTTTTGCCAACCTTTGAATGCATGCATTTTGTGATTACTGAAATAAAATGTAAATTGAGAAGTTTTTATATTCTTGCTTACACATGTTGGGAGCCCCCATAGTCCGGGGGCCCCATATACTTGATACAGCAGATACAGCGCTAGCTACGCCTGTTATTCAGATAAAATTCATAAGATTTTTCTTACTTAAAATAACTACATAAGCATAAACAAAATTTTTGTAACTGCCTTTTAACAACTAGAAACAAACTGCACCTTTCCTTTTGTCAATAACATAAATTACAAACATTTATATAACAACACACACCTTTATAAATTACAGATGTAACCCAAGAAGGAATATTTCGCAGAACTGGTTCGTTGAACAGACAGCAAGAGTTGAAGAACTTGCTCCTCACAGGATCCAACCTTGGTTTGGATGATGGAAAGTTTTCTGTCCATGATTGTGCCTCTGTGTTGAAGGGATTCCTTGCTGAGTTACCACAACCTCTACTGATGGATCAGTATTATCAGACATATTGCACTTTGGCTGGTAAGTTATTATGAAATATTTGCTTGGGATTTTGATTTTTTGTTCAATGTAGACCTTACACATAGGGTTCTAAATTCAATAACAGAAATAAACAAAATTTATATCTTACTACTTAGTTCTATTTGACCACCCTTCTGGAAATTCACACGGTGGAACTGCGGTTATAGTGAGAAAAAATATCAAGCATTATGCCTTAAACCCATACAGAACAGATAAAATTCAAGCAACTGTGATCAAATTAAATTACAAAAATTCAGATACAACTATTGCTGCAGTTTACTGCCCACCAAGACACTCTATCAGTGCGGAAGAATTTAAAACATTTCTTGCGGAGCTAGGACCGACATTTGTAAGTGGAGGAGATTGGAACTCCAAGCATACCTACTGGGGCTCCTGATTAATCAACCCGAAGGGTAGACAACTGCACAAAGCCACAGTGGATATGAACCTTGATTGCATATCTCACGGTGAGCCTACATACTGGCCAAAGGATTTAAGCAAAATACCTGATCTGTTGGACTTTTATATAACAAAGAACATCAGCAGGAACTACACTAAAATAGAGAAATGTGAGGACCTATCGTCAGACCACTCCCCGGTTATTCTTAATCAAACAAAAGTTGCCATTCCCTCTGAACCATTGACACGAATATACAATCAAAATACTGATTGGGACAAATACAAGGACATCATCTCTCAAAACCTAGAACTTAACATTAAATTGAAAACAACAGAGGATATTGAAAACAGTATTGAAAAATTCAACTACATAATTCATATGGCAGCCATCAAAACAACCCCTACAAAAAATACAAATCCCCCTCATAGGGCATATCCAAAGAAAGTAGTAATGAAAGCACTAGAGAGGAGAAAATTAAGGAAAGAATGGCATAGGAAGGATATCTTCCTTCGGATAAAACCAAATTAAATAGAGCCTCAGAGGAATTGAAGAAAATGATTAGCGACTATGAAAATCTCAGCTTTCAAAACTACTTAACTCGCCTGACTCCTAACAAAGACACTAATTATTCACTGTGGCGCGCGACTAAAAACCTCAAACGACCTGTAAACCACATCCCGCCAATCAAAAAAAGAGATAACACCTGGGCCAGATCAAATTATGAAAAAGCGACAGCCTTTGCTGTTCACCTCAAAGATGTCTTCACCCCTCTTGAGACTAGGAATGAAGAAAAGGATAAAGAAATTAGGGATTTCCTTCAATCACCCAACCAATTATGCCTACCACTAAGAGCAGCAACCCCTAAAGAAATTTCTAGAGAAATTATAACACTACCCACTGGAAAAGCGCCAGGGTATGATCAAATTGATTCAACCCTAATAAAGAACCTCCCGAAGAAGGGCATAATGTTTCTGGTGATGCTCTTTAATTCATGCCTAAGACTGAGCCGTTTCCCATCCCAGTGGAAGATTGCACAGGTGGTAATGGTGCCTAAACCGGGCAAGCCAGTAGAGGAAACCTTATCATACAGACCTATTAGTCTCCTCCCTCTCTTGGGTAAACTTTTTGAGCAAATAATACTCAACAGAATGTATGCCCACCTAGAAGAAATTCTCCCAGAACACCAATTTGGCTTTAGACAGAAACATGGTACTATAGAACAGGTGCACAGAATATCAAACACCATAAGCCAAACTATTGAAAACAAGCAGTTTTGTTCAGCAGTTTTCTTGGACATAAGTCAGGCCTTTGACAGCGTTTATCACATGGGTCTTCTTTACAAAATAAAAAATCAGCTACCTCACTCATTCTACTCCATTTTGGCAAGCTACTTAAATAAAAGGTGCTTTGAGGTAAAAGTTCAAAATGAAACATCAGAGCTATATGACATTAGCTCAGGAGTCCCACAGGGCAGTATTTTAGGCCCAGTTCTATACCTCATATTTACTGCTGATATACCAAAAAAAGAAGATACTATGATGGCCACGTATGCAGATGATACTGCTATATTATCGGTGAACACCGAGGCTGCATCCGCATCAGCAACGCTCCAAAGGCATCTCATAGAAATTGAAGAATGGCTAGGGTTATGGAGAATAAAGGCAAACAACAGTAAATCGGTCCATGTCACCTTCACTCTTAGAAAAGGCGATTGCCCACCAGTTACCCTTAACGGAGAGCAAATACCGCACTCTGACAAAGTCAAGTATCTCGGTATGCACTTAGATAGAAGACTGACATGGAAAAGTCACATCTGGACTAAGCGGAAGCAACTTGATACAAAATTCCGAAGCTTGTATTGGTTGGTAGGCAAGAAATCCTAAACTATCTAATGAAAGCAAAATGTTAATCTACAAAGCAATCCTCAAGCCATTATGGACGTACGGCATCGAACTATGGGGCACAGCATCCAGCAGCAACATTGATATCTTGGAAAGATTCCAAACTAAGAGCATTAGGTGCATGTATAACATACCTAAATGCATCAGCAATAAATATATTTTACGAGATCTAAATCTTAATACGGTGAAACAAGAAATCTCCATTAGAAGTTCCAAGTATCAGACCAAGTTATCGATTCATGTAAATGCCTCAGCTAATAAACTAACAGGCACTGGCAGCGTTCAGCACTCAAGACTGAGGAGAAACAGTGTTCCCTCCCTCAAAAACCGTTTTCCAACATTATAAAGAGTGAAGTCAATGGACCCCTCTTTAAATTAAAGACACACTCAGGCTGAGGTCAAAGAAAATAACAGCTAAATGTGGAAAAACAGATTGCTGTGCTAAGCAGGATTGGAAAAAAAGAACTTAGTTCTATTAATATTTCTTTTAATTTCAATCCTTTTAAAAAAAGATTTCCTTCTTTTTATATTTGACTAGATACTTTCGCGCGGTTTCACACGCTCTGCTCAGCTTCTATTGGTCGTAGCGTGATGTTTTATAGCCTATAACCATCCTCGATAAATGCGCTATCCAACACTAAAAGAATTATTCACATCAGACTTGTAGTTACGAAGATTAGCGCTTTTAAACAAACAAACAAAAATATTATTTTATAAAGCTTAAGACTTTGTTTATTTGACCATACTAATTTGTGCTGGAACTATCCAGTTATCAAGGAAGACCATAAAGCCTATTAAATATCATGCTGTGATCAATAGGAGCCTAGCAGAGCGAGTGAAAATAGTACTAACTAGTATTAACTAAAATGAATTCAATCCAAAAATTCTATTCACAGCGCAATACCCTCCGAATGCAGATTCGTCAGAAGTAAAGCTCCTAACAGCGTTGCAACTGCTCCTGCTACTTCTAACACCGTCCCACAGGAACTTCTTACAGCGGCTGTTGCGGTTGTTACGACTGACTGCGGACAATGAAGCCTCTAATAGGATGTCGCCTGACACTCTAGCTACCATGTTCACTCCACATCTACTTTGTCCAAGAAAGGTAAGCTGTTCATATAAACCTTGATGTACGCGATTATGGCGAAACACAAAAATATGGTATGCTATCATTAATATCAACACTCTCTCATCAAAACGAGGCCTGTAGTCCATTAGTGGATTATGTCTGCCTCATTGACTGAGTCGTCGCAAGTGCGACTGCCGGACAAGGTGTCTTGGGTTAGATTCCCGGGTTGACAAAATAATTACTTGGTTTTGTAATAAAATCTCAGTAGTAGCACGGAGTCTGGAACCGTGCCCGGTATATGGCAATAGACTCACCCCTATTACATGGGATTCATAGGGAAAAGTGGGTGTTACATAGTACTGTGGCATTAAGTACCATAATGCGCACCTCTGCCTATCCCGTCGGGGATAAAAGGCGTGATGTTATGTTATATTATGTGTAATTATTTATCTTTTTGATCTCTTTTTGGCCATTGTCTCCACTTTTCGTTCAGAGGTGGCAGTTCAAGGTTTAAGTATATCAGATTGTGCTGCTATCCAGTCTCTGTTAAAAGTGTGGAGGAGCCATGCTTCGGCATGAATGGATACTACGGCCTCACAGAAAACCGACGTGAAACAACGTTGTTTCACGTCGTGTGAGTGAGGTTACCGGAGACCCCATATCCATACAATCCTCAAACTTCCTATCCTCAAAAGGCCGGTAACGGACTTGTAACGCCTCTTGTGTTATAGGTGTCTATGGGCAGCGCCGATTGCTTGCCATAAGGTTACTCGTTTACCTGCTTATCCAATAAAAAATGCAATTTCTTAGTTGACTACAACAGTATTCTTTACCTTTTGGTGTCTATTTGGTGCTTATATAGCGGGTCGGCAACGAAACATGTAAACGTGACTATCCAAACAATTTTATTTTATTAAACTTGTATTAATCTTCTTCAAAAACATTCCAGCTATCACCAGAGACATTCCACGCGGACTCTATAGCACTATCACCAGTGATCAGCTTCATGATCCGCCAGTCCTCCAAACTGTTTGACGCGCCGACGCAGTTGGTGACGGACGCGGCCGCCTACCTCACAGTGCGGGAGAAGAGACGAGCCATGTCGCCGCTGGTCGACTTGGATGAGAGTATTACTGATAAGTGAGTATTGTTACAATATAAGCAATGTCGTGGTGGCCCGGAGGTTGAAGACGCCTGCTTCTCATGCACGAGGGTGCGGGTTCGAAACCTACCAACAGCAAGTACCAATGTGACTTTTTCCGAGTTATATGTACTTTCTAAGGAAAACATCGTGAGGAAACCTGGGCTTATAATTTCTAATTATAAGTTTGAAATCGCCAACCCGCATTAAAGAAGCGTGGTGATTAATGCTCTAACCTTCTCCATGTGAGAAGACGCTTTGCTCAGCAGTGGGCATTTATAAGCTGTTGATGATGATGATGATGATGATGAAGGAATGCAGGAATAGCAGTAATGTTTTCAAAACTACCAATAGACTCACCCACACACTCAAGTGGGTGTTACATTGTACAGTGGCATAATGTACAACCTCTGCCTATCCCTTCGGGGATAAAAGGCGTGATGTTATGTTATGATATTTTTCTTTTTTCTTTTCTCTCTTTCTAATATATTCCTGCACCACTTCCGCAGGACGGCCGCGAGCACGGTGTACACGTTCGTGGACCGTCCGCGCACGCGCGCCGAGAACGCTCACAACCCGACCGACACCGCGCTCGCGCAGCTCTACGCACACATACAGGCGCTGCCTGACTCCAGCCACAAACGACGGCTCATCAAACATTTCAACAGGCAAAATGGATATGGTTAGTACTACTTATCGTTGTTGAGCCTGTTACGAATTATCTGAGACTTACTAAATTAATTATTAATAAATTTGTGATTAATTTAGTTTAAAAACACTGTCGCGCTGCTACAGTAGTAGAATATGAGCCTAGCATGGCTTAAAACTAGTCAAGTGCCTCGTCAAATAATTACGTGTGTAAGCCGAAAACATAATAATTAAAATAAAACAGTTTCAAGAGATATAACAATCAATGAATTTAATAAAGCCTCGCTAAAGACGTGCTGATATTTTTCTGTGTAGGTTGTTTATTATCTTACCGTATCTTGAATGAAGTCAAAGCGTTTATTTCAATTAAATCATAATATGGTTCTTTTAAAATGTCAACAAATACAAAATAAATAATAGTCTGTCAGTCAGTCCGTCAGTGAAGCTAGGTGAAGCTAAGTGCTCATTGAAAAATGTAGATTCGAATTGTGTGTTAGACTTTTCTATTACAATACTCTACACATAATTATCTTGCTATTGAAAAAGGAACATATACAAAACAGTTGACTTGTTTTAACAAACTTCTTAAATGCATTTCAGGTACACCAATACAAATTCAAAGGACAGGTAAAGTGGCTGGTTCTAGAAGTTTCGGCGATTCCATAAAGAGACATATCTTCAACAAGGGACTTCTCAACAAGACGCCAAAGAAAGGTTCTGGCTCTAATATTAATGTAATAGAAGAGGTGAGACTTAATTATTATATTGTTTGTCCAACGCTCGATAATACACCTTTTGTTGCAAGATATAAATTTAAAAATAAATGTACGTTCCCAGTGTCGGATTTATATTGTATATGACTGTAAGTCAATTGTTTCGGCCGCCCCATGTACCTACTTTTATTTTTGAGGGAGAAAATCATCTAATGACTTCTCCTGCCCTACCAGGCGAGTGGTAGTGTCTGACTCTTACTGACTAAAAACCACCCCGTAACTAAAAAAACATGATAAAACTAGTGAACGTGTTTGACTTTTACCATCTTAAATCGAGTGACCGTCCTCTAAAATCTGCCGCCCCTAGGACACTGCCGCCCCTAGGCCGCGGCCTATACGGCCTATTTATAAATCCAGCACTGCACATACATATGACACCCAGACCCGAAACTGGTATGTTCACATACATATGACACCCGGATTATACCATACGGATATAATCCGGGTGTTCCGTATGGTATAATCCGGTAAAAACCAGTTCGTTAGTAATGCGTAATACATATTTGACGTGTAAATGCACGGTTTACTAACCAAAGGTGTATATCGAGCAAATAGTCTTTAATACTTAACTAATATTTTTTTTCAAACTATAATCTTTGAGCCCCTTTAATAGTATGTTCTTTATACATAAATAATATACTGTCTCCAGTTTTATGTGCCACAGTATTTGGTATACAGGGAAGAGAATAAAAGATCAACTTAGTATATGGTCTGTAGTTATTGTTAACTAAAAATCTCGGATTACTCTCGTGAAAATACTGAAAAAAGTTTTACTAGTTTCGAGCTACTGAAGGGTTCCTCATGAGCAGCGTGCGCAGTCGCGGCCATGTCGCACAGCCTACTGGCTACAGCCTATTTTCACGTGAATAACTCGCGATTTGCAGTTAATTTAGTATGTCTCACGATAGTTATTATAAAAACAGTACCTATTACAGTAAATAGTATGTTTATTGCTAAAGCTAAACTTCTTGGAACCATTTTACTGTCTTCGTTCTAGATCAGTCTTTAATTTCGTAGCTGTATACCAAATAGTGTGGCTGGCAGTACCTTCATCATCAAAAGCATGTAAATGCATACTTGTAACTAACATTATGTTCGTGCATTGTGTTGTGATGTCTAATCTCTCTGTCTATCTGTGTGCTGTCTCCTTCCTAACATTTCCGTCATGCTTAACGCTTACAGAAATCAGCCAAAGGGAAACTAAGGTTCACAGATGACAATAAAGTCGATGTGTCACACAAAAATATAGTTCTCAAAAACTTAGCTCATAAAATAGCGAGCTCTGAGTCTCTAGACGACGACTACGAATCGGACGCCAGCAACGAAAGCACGTTATCAGAAGGCGCACTAAATAAATCTCGTAAACTAAGTCCGAAGTTCGTGTCTGAACCGAATTTGAGTGCTTTGGATACAAACGATGAAACTCCGAAGAAGAAACGCGGTAATCGGCTGTTTCGTTCGAAGATAATGACGACGCAGACGTTGAATAAGAAGTATCAGAAGCGGCACGGGGCTATACGGGGGACGCCGACTTGCGTCTCGTGTTTCGATGACCAAGACACTGGGTCGGAGCACGAGTCGTGCCAAGAAACGAGTCAAGACAAAAGTCCTATAGACACACCAACGAGGATTTTGCAGGACGATATGAAACACTACCTTACTAGTACGCCAGGGATATCTGACGCGGTTCTGTTTGATGAAGACTGTTCCACGCCTTACGCTATAAATTTTCGAAGAGCCTCTATGTCGCCCATAACGAAGTCTACGCAAAAGTTGTCCAAAGCAATGCAGGTTTGTTCTTTGCATGTGTTGCATGTTCTATTATTCGTGCTTTTAATGTTTTAGGATATTTTTGTCATGAAATTAATGTAAATTGTCGACGTCTTTGCCTATTCATCTCATCTATCCACATGGGTATTGGGGATTAGCAGGCTAGATGTGCATATTGTAAGTACCGTCATTTTCTATAAGATCAATAACAGATTTCTTTTATGTGCAGAATGAACTAAATCAATCCGTTCAAGTATAATTTGAAACGTAAATTGTCGAAGTAACTGTGATACATTTTGTAGTTCGAAACCTAATGCAACATAATTATCTGAATTTATATCCAGTGTTGCCCCCATCACAGTGGGTATTAGGAAAAATATATGTACCGACATGTATGTATATATGAATAGTTGTAAAATAAATATTATCATAATTACAGGAATCAATAATGACACCGCGATCCCGTAAACCGCTGATTATAACATCGGAACAGCGAGACATGGCCGACACGACCGTTCAGAAAGACGAAACGACCAAGTCTGACGTCATCTATCAATCTATGTCGCCCAAGAACGATAGCGATTTCGTCTCCTCAGATGATGATGACGTCACAAGGTCCACATTCTCGTGTGAAAGGTAACACTAAACAGTCGTTACGAAGAATTTGTTACTAACAAGATTTTTATATTATATGCTTAAAAAATAAGTATTTTAGGTTGAAAATTGTCTGCGCTGTTAACAAAGCTTTAAGTATTAATTATTGATTAGTGAAGATTGATGTCAAGGTAAACTATTAATGCTTTTTAAAATCCTTTAACGTTTTTGTGTTTTGTAAGGCAGCTGTTGCTTACAACTGTATTTCTCTTTTTCAGATCAAGATCAAGTCAGTCTGCAAGCACATCACTACCACGAACGAATCAATTCGATGCCCGATCGATCAATTCAATCGGTGAAGGTAGCCCTATACGACCGGAAAGTACTCGATTCGTTTTAAGCCGCGATAGACCGAATTTAGTTGACGAACTAAACACAACACTATGCGGTAGCGACGATGGCCTACCAAAGTTCGCAATATCTTACGATACAAACGAACAAAAATGTCTATCGGAACCTTTTAGAGAATATCTCCTCAGTAGATCGGTTCTAACAGCGACTCCAATCGATTTATCGATACTAAATAAATCGAATGACACCGATGATAAAATTAGCGATTCACTTCTCTACTGTTTAGATGGTAACGTACCTTCAGATTTAACGTTATCGATAAGTAATTTGGCAGTCGATAAAGAATCTAGTTTGAGGTCGCCGTTAACGAGTATAAGTGTGAATATCGATAAAAGTCCGAATAGAAAGCGTTTGGCTGATAATATTGGTTGCATAGAGGAATCTACGTCTGAGACGAAGAAGCTGATGGTTGCTAAAGAGAATATAAAAGAGGTTTTTGAAATACGAGAGACTGAATTGTAGATTATCACTTTATTGATTGAAGTTTTTTAGATATACACACTAAACATGTCTACCGTTTCGGTGAAATTGTTAGTCATTGAAAGGGTAGGCAATGATGTATGTTAGTCACTTTGTTCTACTAGATCTGTGGCGACCGTATCTACTTTTATAACTGTAATCTGAACAGCAGTTCCTCTAGAGAAATGCCATTTGAAACACTAATCGAAGGAGTCATTATTAAAGTCAATGTATGGACATTGACATTTAACAAATTATGCCAAACCGGCAGCTGTAGCCAAATGCAATTTAGCGCTTGTCTACATGTAGAATAGAAAACCAAATTATATGGAATTGACATAAATTTTTACACTTGTCAGTGTCATCCCCATCCATTTAGTTTTCTACTCTCTCCGTAGACAAACGCTAAAGTGGCTTTTGGCTAAAGGCACTGTACATTGATTTTTCTGTATATCACTTGAGTAGCGCTTAAATGCTACTTGACTCATAGAAAACTCGCGCTTGCTTTAGAGGATTTTAGGAGAAGTGCTAACACGGTGATTAGAAACGTCAATATGAATCCTTTACTATTACAATTTTTATATTGATATTCCTAATTACTATGAACTCAAGCTAAGCATGTCAAAAATGTATATTTATACCCAAGGGCCTTTGCCTACAACGATTATTTGTAGCGATCACCGACACATACTAATGGACATGCCGTACGCGTATAATCTGCAGTAATTTTTTGGTTTAAAAAGAGTGGGAGAGATGGCCTATGCTTTCGGTCTAGCGCTATCTCTTTCTCGCTTATAACGTCTTAACAACGGTACTATTTTGAGAGAGATCTTTATCTTTATAAACCGAAACTTCGTTTCCTCTCTTTCTTTAGGAGTGCCACAATTCTCATCTCTAAGGCATGCCCATTAGTATATCTCGATGGTAGCGTTACTAAAACTACCCCAAAAGCGCGACAGCATCCCTATTCGCTACTAACGAATGTTATTTTTATGTACACTGCGACTGTATTGATGCAGACGTGTGACAGCATCGCTACACAAAGTCGCCGTGGACGAAGGCCCTTAAATACAACCTGAAAATACAAAGCGACCATGACACTTAACACGTAAGCCAGACAAAGAACCGCTTGAACAGCAGATTAAGTTTTTTGTTAGCAATTACAGTTTTAAGTGTGGGAGAGCCATGCTTCGGCACGAATGGGCCGGCTCGACCGGAGTGATATTACGGCCTCATAGAAAACCGACCTGAAGCAAAGCTTGCGTTGTGTTTCGTCGTGTGAGTGAGGTTACCGGAGGCCCAATTACCCTCCCCTTCCCCAATCTCCCCAATCCTTGAATCCCCAACGATTCTCAAACTCCTAATCCCCAAAAGGCCGGTAACGCACTTGTAACGCCTCTGGTGTTTCAGGTGTCCATGGGCGACGCCGATTGCTTACCATTAGGTGATCCGTCTGCTCGTTTACCGGCTTATGACATAAAAAAACTAACAGGAACTTAACCAAAAGCAGTGAAGCGAGGTCTAATATGGTATTATTTATTACAATTGTAAATACATTTCGACACCAATGATTATAAAATAATGAGAATTCGACAAAATATTCTCATTGAGTGCCTTAAAATGTTCATGACATTACTTTTTAATCCAATATTGGTGCATTATGTATGAGATTATACAAATAGTAAGATAAAGATCTCCGAATTGTGAAACTATTGTACAGTATTTTTGATTTTAACCCTTATTACTGTTGACATTAAATTGATTTTGCTTTGTAAACCCAATGAAGAATATTGTCAAAAATATTTATTTTACTTCTTCACATTTGAATTGATTATTGTTTTAATGTAACTGTTTTAGTTATGAGTACGTTTATAAATATAGAATATTTGAGTACATTATGAACTTGGTTCTTTTATTCTACATACATATTTTCAAATTAAAAATGTTAATAGCTATTTAAAAATCTGCCAAATCTTTTATTGAAATTTGTGGCAGTTTTTTTATTAGAGACTCTTTTGTAAAGCACTATAGTCCATAGTAGGCTTAGTACAACTTTGTTTTATGTTTAACTGATAACGAGACCGAGACCGCGTTCGGCGCCCTGATTGGCCGGCTTTAATTAATCATCCAATCACAGCGCCGAACGCGGTCTCGTTTAAATCTTGTTTAACGTAAGGCAAACTTGTACTAATCTTGTAGACTCTCACGAATTGTTGATAATGATGGCGATTCACATTCATACAGACATGCAAGGATACACTAAACTGTAGTAGAATAATCAATAACGAGATTGTGTTAAAAATCAGTTTTATTTATAATCGAGTTGTAGGTATTCAGCTGTTTACAATTGGTCAGCAGAAACATGTAAATAAGATACCTAAGATCAATATGACTGTCACGCAGCAGTAGAATTGACAGCAAATACGATAACAGAAATTGGAGAATCTTTCATTGAACGAATCCTTTTGGCTGAAACAAGGAAAGGTAAGGGTTAAAAAGTATTAGAATGCGAATAGAAAGTTGTTATGAATTTGGGCTATTTATATTTTTTATACGCGTGCCAATTTCATATGGGGTCAAGTAGCTTCGCACTTCGTTTGGTCTACAGCCCTTATAATTTACTAATATCAGCTACAATGACATAACTATACTAATCGAGGCCCCCTTTGCCCATTAAGAACAGAGAAGTTCAGTTGAGAACTTCTGATCTGGGGTCTTTTTCGGTTGGGGGCTCGTGGCATTTCGTCGACTTGCCAGTCTATAGTTACGCCACTGCATAGTTAGTTAACTTTTGAAAATACTTTGAAGCGATTAGTCCTACAAGACTAACCAAAAGTTCAACCTGCGAAAATATCTTTAACAGTTTCTCAGATAGTTTCTCTATATCAAAATATAATGAAGCCCTAAGCACCTATAAGTTTGAAGGACAAGCTCGTCACTCGGCGTGTCTCCTGCGTGGAGCAATCTTGCTGGCATCAGAAGTGTGATGTCGGCAGACCGCGGGCGCATTTCACTGGCGTTGAGATCCTGCGACATACCTACCATGGAGCACGAGTTAACAATCTCATACAACAAAAACTAAAGTAACTTGTGATGTGAAATATTATAACTTAGGCAGCAGCAGGTTTGTGACTCATGTCGAAGAATGGCAGTTATGAGAGAATCACAAAAATTGCTACATACTTAAATGTGCCTAAAATATCTAAATAGATGGATATCGATTATCGGAATTTTGTGAACGTGTCCGATTAAGTAACTTTGCTATGAAACGTTTAATTTCATTGTAAAGTTATCCAAGTTCACCTTTTTAGAATGCGTTCAAATTGTATGAACTGAAACGTTAACGGCTAACATAAAAGCAAAAACACCAACTTACTGGTAACATCGGCCTCCTACAGGAGTGTAACAGTTATCATGCATGGCACACACAAAGCACGGCCTTGCAACACTTTTATGTTTTTTATTTTTTATCTTTTTAGGCTTGCACCGTATATTATCTCTTTTGCTGGAACAACCGCTGTGATTTGGACCATAGCAAGGGATTTTTGTAGATAGGATGTTACAATAATCTGTTCCGGGTAATGCTTCTAGTTCTTTTTCAGCTTCTTGGATTTCCCTTTCTCTTTTTATTAATCGTTCTATAAGTTTTGCCTCTTTTACCTGCCGCGCCTTTTCGCGTCGCAAATGTTTCAACCGTTTCTCTTCTACTTTTGTGATCCTGTTCAGTTCGTCTATAATGCGTTTTCTGTGCCACTGACAAAGGTTTGCTTCTTGACATGAATTATTTTTGGAGTGGTTCTTGATCTCGCTGAGTGAGCCGGGCACGGATACGGATGATCTCGATTTACTGATGTTTGGCTTTGACCTGGTAACAAAATTAAGATTAATTTAAAGTGTAGGTAAATGACCAATACAAGAGCTAAAAGAAGACAGAAGGTGTTTGAAAAAAAACATGAGGAATAACGAATAAATAAATTACTTCTGTGTGCAATCCGCGCAAAACTGTACAGAAGGATTTGGGCGTGATTTTGAGCCTCGCAGGAATCTAGTCATTTGGATTCACTCATCTTCTGATAATAACTGTGTGTGGCTGCATGATTATATATTTTATTTGGTTCTGAAAAGATAGGTGTACTTTTTCACTTGATGTGAAATTTGACAGTGATGTTGACGTGGTTTTTATTTTCGTACTTTTGATTGATAGTATGGTAGACCTGCATGGAGGTGGGATATAAAGACTAAAGAGTAAGCCTATAATTATGTAAGGACGTTGCAAAAAAGGTGGCAATAGTCTTCTGAAAGAACGACTGTGGCACACGGCTACTGTAGACGCAGAATAGTCACACATTGACACAAAGGGCATCTGTCGCGTGGTATGGCTCGTCATTACACTTCATACATTACGGTGTTGCAAGTATACGCACACATAAATACACCCTACACATTTTTGGTGCTTCAATCTAAGTGATAGATTTTTCAACGTCGTTGGCCTGTATTAGTGCTAATGTCGCTTGCCTTTGTAGCATCCTTTGTCTCGTTCTTTAAGAAATGATTTGTTAATTTATTTATTTTTATCTATTATTGTGACCCTGTCTATTCCTAAACCTGTTATACTAAAGCAATCTTTAATTATTGGACCTTCCGGTTTCTAATAAATGGTAGTAATAACTCCAACTTTGGCGGATGGCCAAAGCTTAGAATATTATGAATAAATTAATGGGCCGTTGCATCAGTGAACGGCTGTATTAATTAATTATACCTTGTATACTTCTAAGTCCTAAGCATTATAGAGTTTTAGGATAAAAGGTGTATATAAAGATGAGATTGGTGACTTGTGATGAGTGTGATGACATTTTAGACTTACCAACAGGCGAGATAATGGCCAAACGTCGACTCATTAAATATAAAAAATTCTTTGGGCTGTTAATTTTTGTCTTTGGGAGGAAAGTACCCCTCGACACCCAATCTAAGTGGCCATCTAAAATGGAGACTGCTGGAGAGCC